CTGATCACCATGCATAGAGCCTATTATTGTAAAAGGCTTTAGACATAAGACTGTCGTGCTCAAAATACACCACTTCTACTTGCTAATTTTTATAATCCATCTAATTTATGGAGGTGATGGTTTCTTGATGCACATTTCAAAAATCAAATGCTCCAGCTGCTTGAGTATGTCACAGTTGAATAAGAGATATGATTGGAAGCATTATCCTTGTGAACCCACACCCTGTTCACCTTACTTCCAAATGGAGCTTCTTCTTGATTTTGATTCTCACCTGTTACAAAACATCACACTTTGTTTACAGTGGCTGGGGTATAACTTTTTGCAGATCTTTCTGGATGGTTTAGGTTCCCCAGGTTAATCCATATTGCTGTTTTCTAATGCCATTAAGTACAAGGGATATCCCCTTTTTGAAAATTATAAATCCATCATCTGAACTTATCTTTTAGGAACTAAGTGTATGTTTAGTTTGTGTCAGAAAAGACTGTAACATACCTTTCCCCAGAAAGATCAGTTTTTAGTGGCATCACATCATCTATGAAATGCTAAACTGCAACTTTTTACAAGCTGTGATTGTCATTTGTCTTGCTGATTTCCTTATTCAAAATTATTTTAATGTAACATTCTGAAACCTCTGTAAAGCCATAATCATTCTTCTACATACATTCTTCTTTGTATTTATATATGAAGCTCAATAACCTATTGACTGCAGCTGCTTTAAATGAGCATGGAAATTTTGCAAGCCATACACTGTATATGCTGGAGGCAGACTGAACCTTGTACGGAGAATCAACAGTCAGTGGGTTAATCTTTATTTATGTTTGCTATGTATATTTTGTGATAATTCATTCCAGTCACTCTAGCTCTGCTTATTTTTCTTATGTATACTCTGTAAATGATAATATGCTAGAATTACTTTTCGTGCTTTCCTATTTTCTCTTACTACTATATGTTTTAGCAGTACTGTCTAACTTTCATTTATAGTTGAAACTTTCACAGGTACTGTCTCCCATTCTGACTCAATACTCGTACATGTAGCTGTGTATATTTATATGCTTCATTCATCAACTTCAACTGACTAAATTGCTGGATTATTGGCTTCTGCATGAAAGGACTAACTAGTGATTTCTGGAGGATTAACTTTATCAGAGGTTACAACTTATGTATATCTAAATATTCAGTTAACTCTGGGTTTGGTTGTTCATCAATGAAGTCTAGGACTTACCTGTCACATGAACACCTAAAGTATTTCTCTATTAAAATTTATCTTGCTTAGGCTTGTATTATCCTTGTAATCATCTACTGCATGATAGGTTATTGTGATTTCTAGGCTCATTGCATACAGGTGATAGTATTATTAAATATAACACAAAAATACAAAAACTGTAACCCAAGGACAAACTGATTTTGTGAACCTACATGTATTCCTTATAACATGAAGTATTTCTGAATATGATGTTCATGACCACAGCAGTTTAGTTACCAAAGAACATCCATTTTCCAGCTTGCTTGGATTGCTGCATTAATATCCATGTGTTCTTTTGTCTTGACCATTTTCTTAACAGGAGTGATGAAGCAGCTTTCTTCACTCGGTGCATGTATAATTTTTATATAAATATTACTGATGCACATACCTAGACAAAACAAGTGCTTTATTTCTATGTATAGCTATTTATATTAATCAAATGTTCAGTTTACATATTTGAGTAAGGAAGTACATATAATATAATAATAGGTAGGCAAACAACAATTTATAAGCATAGGGAAAAGTTTTATTGATGGTGGAATGTACCACATGTTTGACAGGACATTGGTTTATCTTCTTCAGGTATGATCAGTACTAAGCAATATTTGGTTTATATCTCATTGCAAAGACAAAAGACACAGGGATTAAACATGATAGAAATGGAGTAAGCAGGTGACATGATACAGGTGGACGTCAAGTTTGGTCAGGTGTATCAATGATGAATAGATCTTGCCCAATACGGCTGATGCTGCAAGGGCCATTATCACAGCTTAGTGAGAGATCATTTGCCTTGATGATTTCTTTAGTTTATAAACAGTATCTTTCTTTTTTAGTCGTGGGTTGATGTAGAAGAAGAAGAATTTCATCTCAAAGTATTTTGTGACCTGTTTTATATTGATGATATGTTAAACCAGATATCTGGAATTCACCTCTGTGTATGTGACCTTGATTTCTTTGCATCTTATTTGTCTTATATATTTCTTTCCATATTCACATGGGATACTGTATATGCCTTGTTTTTGTTCTTTTAATAGGGATTCCTTCGGGTTAGGTAGTAATGTGCTATTTTTATGTGAAGGTTTGAATACAGTTTTTACATCAATGCTCAAATTATTAAAAAGGCTAGTAATCTAGTTAGCAATTTCTGGCACAAAAGGGAGTGAAACAAATTTATGTTTTGTGTTGTTGATAGGTGAAAGGTTAGAGTTAACATATTTTTCAAAGTTTTGAAGTTTGATACAAGCTTTATCTATGATATTGGGGTGAAACCTCTAGATAGTGCTATGTTGTTTAGGTAACATATGTTTCAAAGTTTTGAAGTTTGATACAAGCTTTATCTATGATATTGTGGTGAAACCTCTAGATAGTGCTATGTTGTTTAGGTAGTTCAATTCAATAAGTAAGTCTTCTTTGTGCATGCAAAGTTGTGTAGCACAATTTATGTAGGTGAAGTAGGAGGATATTTTTCATGATAGGTGATGATTAGATCTTGTGTGGTGGCATGGTGATGGAATGGGGTTTCCTGTATATAAATATATATATATATATTGGTGGTAACTTTATTATTTTCCCTTTTTACATTCACATCTAAAAAGGGAACACAATTGTTGGATTCTATTTCATGTGTTAAAACTGATTTTGGGTCTTAACCCTTTGACTGCGATCAACTTACATTGTAAGTAGGTATGTGACTTTCATGAAAGTTCTTTAGAAAAATGAAACTAGTTGATGGAATAGTTTTAAGTTTGACTTGAATGGTCCTAAGATTATGTACTTTTAGAAAAATAAAATGTTTAATTTTGACTTTTTCTACTATTTATAATAAAACATTCATTATTTAATCTGAATAGTTCACATGCAATGTGATTTTTATTTTGAGTATAAAAATACTATTTCTTATCTCACAGTTTCACATTTCATTTGCATAATCTTTAGAACCTCCTAAATGAATATCAAAAGTTTTTTAAGGTAAATGTTTATATTTTGTTTTCCAATTTTCTCTATTATATCATTAACTCCAGATATCATCTTTAACATACAGTGCAATAAAATGTTTAAAATTATGAAATGTAAGTAAGTTCATACCTTTTGAATTTTTAAAGAATAGTTCAAATATTTCTTTTTGTCATATGCATAATTTCACATCTTTATCTTTTCACTTGTAGTTTATTTTTAACTTTCCTTTCCAATTCTTTGTCTTTTATTCATTGTCCCAAGATCCCCAACATGTCCCATGTGGTGCTCTATTGTTTATTATTGGACAAGTCTGGGTGAGTCTCATGCACAAATTCCAAACACTTATGCTTGCACACACAAATGATGCCATCTTGCTTAGACATTTTGGTAAGCCAAACTACAACAGGTTAAACATATAAAAATCATAAACATTTCAAATATGCACTTTAAAACATAAATAAATACATAATTAATTAAGATATAAATGTAAAACTTAAATGCAATCTAACTGTTTAGCAAACTAATACATATAAGATGAGAAACATTTGCCAAACATTATATACACCTCAAAAGAACAATGGACTAGGCATATTTTCTATTTCATACTACCGATCTGTACACAGGTAGAGGTTTCTTCAGGATATAACTGAATGGTGTGAAATCTGCTCTTTCTATTGGTTATAAACATGCCATTAACTTCAAAGTGTCGCTTGACAACATGGCTTTGACTTTACAAGTGGGCGTGGCTGACTTTAAACTTAGAAATATTAGAATGTTGTTTCACACCAGGAGAAATTCTTGGAAGTTTCCCTCCCAGCTAATGAGAGACAGCTGGAACTGTACTTTAACTGTCTGTACTGACAGTCTATATTAGGAACATGTAGTTTCTTGTCTAAGACCTCTTAAACTTGAGAATTTTAACCACAGTGGATCACGTGACAGCCAATACTGCAGTTTTAATTGTTGTTTCAGATATTTGTTTTTAGAATAAAGGAATAAAATTTAGATAATATAAAACTTATAAAGTACTTGATAATAGTAAGTTCATTCAAATATGTTTATAGAAAAGTGGTTTCATTCAATTTGGAATTTAACTCATAACATGCGCAGAAAGGGGTTTAAATGTTCATCGAGTTCAAAGGCTTATTAGCCTATTGATACTAGAGTAAGGAAGCACATTATGCTAATATAATAATAGGAAAACAATGATTTTTAAGCACAAGGAAACATTTTGTTGATGATGGCAAGATCTATTTAATGTTCATACATTTGACCAGACTTGACCTCTAACTATATCCTGCCACCTGCTGACTTCATTTCTGTCACATTTAATCCCTGTGTGCTTTATCTTTGTGACAATATATAAACTTTATATTGCTTAGTACTGATCATACCTGCAGAAGACAGACCAATGTTTTGTCGAAACATGTGGTATGTTCCACCATCAATAAAACTTTTCCTTATGCTTATAAGTCACTGTTTGTCTACCTATCATTAGAGTTTACATGTGTTAGCAACCACTTCTTTAATACAAGGTTTCTATCTAAAACCTCATTGTTTGAATGGGATACCCTCCCAAAAGAGAGCCATGGGTCCAAAGGGCCAATTCCTGCTTCATACCTGATTGACAGTGCATACAGATGCATGGTAGACCAGAAGTAAGTTTGCATGTGTATATATATATATATATATGATCAAGTGAAATAAAAGTCCTTTTTTATGAATGCAAAAGAAAAGTTATTTTTAATTATGTAATGGTTTGATATTATTTACTAATAATTTTGGTGATGTAATTTCCTAGGCCTGCAATTTGGAACAACAGATGTACAAGTATATAAGCAATTTTGAGTCTGCTTCATCTCTAGATGCTTCACTACGTAATTCCTCTCAAGATAGACAAAGGATTTTATCATTTCTTGGTAGAAACAAAATTGAGAAAAAGAAAAATACAAGGCCTAATTCAGAAAACTCTACATTTTTCTGTGAGAACTGTGCAAGTGATGAGGAGGAAAGCATGGTCAGTAGCAATGATAAGTTAAAAAGTAAGTAATTTTTTTTAGCTGTAAAATGTAAAAAAAAAAAATTGTTTAATTTTATTTATATCAGCCTTGCAGTATATATTTTTTATTTCTAACAGCAACTTTGAAGTCAAGAACTTAACAGGATTAACATAGATTCAATTCCAATGTCTTGCTTTCATTTTTCTATAATTCAGACCCATTGCAATAGGGAACTATCAGACAAACCTATTTGAAAGTGATTTGTAAGCATGTCAACTTGTCACTTTTTTATAAGGGCTTCATCTTTCTTTTTATTTTTTTGTACCAATTGAAAGAGGAGACTGTGTATGAATAGACAATTATCACCATATTTATAGAGAAGAAAACATGTATAAAAGAAAAACTCAATGAAGTTTTTTCTGATACAAAAACTTATTTTCTTTCATATAATAGCTTTTCTCGATTAATGCTGCCCTCTGTATGCTCAATTTTTTTTTGCTTGCCACTAGCCTTGATATGCCTACCCACATGTATTTAACATGATACAGCTGGGCTGTAACATGCAAAAAACATGTGACAACCTTCCACCAATAGAAGCAGGACACACTCTCCTGGCAGATCTGTCTTTCGCTGGATTACAGAGTTTAACCTCACTTCTTAATTTGGCACTCGATTAGACGTATTGCTCGCTGTGCTCTGAGTTTTCAAATTTTGTGAAATTTTTGTTACTTTTGTACTTCATTTTTGAACTTTCATGTACAACTTTGATAATCTAACACCTGTTCGGTATGAATTGAATTTCTTTCTTCCATTGGAAGATGGAGTTTTTCATGCAGGCTGGGGGATCTTCGGACCCTTACCCTGGGGACACTGGACAGGAGGTTGAGGACTTGGACAGCCTTTTCTCCTCCTTCCTTTGCCATACAGTTTCATTCAGTGGCTGTTGATGCACCTATACCTTCATTAGATTTTCTGGACTTAGTAACACAGGTTTGTTGCGTTTTGTCCTTATCCCCCAGTGTCATATGACCCACCTCCTTCCTTGTTAAATGACACACTTGCTTCCAAAATTTTATTTTCCCCCCCTCTCTCCCAATATTAAGATCCATGCTTAGCATTTTGCTGACCAATTACTTTTGGAGATAAGCATGCTGCATCCCCCCTTGCTCTTCTGAGGCTCATGCGTTGACCTATCATCAGGCTTTGAATCCTTTTTTGGATTCTCAACAGTTGGATTCTTTAATCCCAGTTTGGGGTTTGACCCTGATACCTCAGTTCATTTCTACCAGGCACAGTTCTCCCACCTTCATTTAACCTTAACCTCCCTCCTTTGCTACCTCTCTTCCATTCCCTTTTGTCTGAGGCTATCCATTGTTCTGCTGAGGAGTCTTTGAGGGGTGCCTGTTCCTTATTGTTGTCTACGTTGGCACATTTATCTTCCTCATCCCTGTTCATTCACACTTGGTTCCTGTGTTGTTGGGATCTTTTGGAAGAGATGCCGTTCTGACATGGGTATGTTTGCCCCCACCATCTTTAAAAGACTTATGCATGGCACCCTTTTTGAATCAGTCCATTTTTGGGACTCCCTGGAGTCTTGTGTGGAATCAGCTCTTCTACATTTTTTCATATTCTCCCTTGCCACTTGCTTGTTTCAATTCTCTCCTGCTCCTGTATTTGTATCCCATACCTTCTCTTCTGCTCAGGTTACAGAGGCAAATCATTTTAGTATTCATCGACAACCCGTCTGATGCCAGTGGTATTGGAGACTATCTGTTTGGTACAGGACTGTTCAATTTTGTCCACGTTTATGACAAATTTTTGGGTTATACTAGTTTTAACAGAAGGATTCTTCCTTTTTTTCCACACATCTCCTCTGTTATTTTCTTTCCCAGTTCTCTTCCCTCTTTCTGAGGTGGTTCAGTACCTTCTTTCCAAAGGGTTCTATTCCTGGTTGTTTATTGTCCCCAAAAAGACAGAGGACTTGTGGCTGATCATTGACACTACATAGACCTTTCTTGATTCACCATGGAGTTGAAATTATCTCTTTGGTGGGCATTTACTTCAGGTTTGTGTATGGTGAAGGTTGAGGTGTCTGATGTGTACTTCCACATCCCCATATCCTTAGCTTCCCATCAGTTCCTTCGGTTTGTTCGTGAAGGCCAGGTCTACCAATTCAGGGCTCTTCCATTCAGACAGGCTTCAGCTCTTCATGTTTTTTGTCGGGTGGTCAAGGTTTCCACTAAGTGACTCCATCCTATCTTCTTCTCGCTCCATCGTTAGCAGTTTCTTTCTAACACACTAAGTTTCTTCTCGGAGAAGCTGCATGGGTGGTTTGGCTGATCAAGTTAGAGAAGTCTTATCTGATGCCAACACAATATTATGTTCATCTTGGGGTCCTTTTCAATTGAAAGAGATTCAGTTGTGCTCAACCTTCTCTAGTTTGACTATGGTCTATGGAGCTGGCAGTTTATAAAGCACAATCTTCTACTCTACCCATGTGTGAGGTTTTATTGCTTTTGAGGACTTGGGCATCATTTGGAAGCCTTTATGCCACTGGGTCAGGTCGACATGAAGGCTCTTTAGTGGGCGTTACAAGATCAGTGGGACCTCACCAGGGATCCCCTGGATTCCTCTATCAAATTTTTCAAGATGCCTTTCTGACAGGTAGTGGAGCATATCTGGATTCATGAGAGACTTCAGGTCAGTGGTTCAGTGCAAGTTTCACATCAATCTCCTGATACTTTTGCTGTTCGTCGAGCTTTGGATCATTTCCATCTGTTTCTTAGGGCAAGTCTGTCATACATTCTGACAACTCATCTGTGGTCACTTACATCACCAACACAGGGTACCTGTTCTCAGTTCCTTTGTTTTCAAACATTGGATATTATGTTCTGGGCTCATAGCCAGCAAGCTCACCTGTAGGCTTGTCATATTCCAGGTGGTCTCAAACTTGTCGCAGATTAGTTATCTTGACCCGACAGGATTCTTTCCACAAAGTATTCCCTTGATTCACAGATCTTCCAGTGGCTGTGCTCTTGGTTAGGTACACCCCAGTTGGATGCATTTGCCACCCATTGGACCACCAAATCCCCTCTCTTTTGGTCACCAGTTTCACATCCTTCACCATTGTAAGTAGATGCTTTTAGCCTGGATTGAAAGGACCATTACATTTATGCCTATCCTCCTATCTATTTATGTCCCAGAATCTTATCCATCATTCAAACCACTCAGTGTTGAGTCCTTCTGGTGGCACCATTCTGGCCTGCTCAGAATTGGTTCCTGTTACTACAACCTCTACAGTTGTTGTCACCTTTATCTTTTCCACCCTCCCTGTCTCTCCTTCATCAATCTCATGCATCCCTGTTTCATCCATCTGTTCCCACACTCCAGCTTTATGTGTGGCTTTCGTCCAGTCTCTTGCAAGAAGGACTGGTCTTTCCACATGGGTGCCATCCCTTATATCCTGTTCAGTCCGTCCTTCCTCATTATCTGTGTATCAGCACAAATGGTGTGTTTTAAGCTATTGATTGTTCTGTTGTAGTCTCCTTCTCACCTCAATAACTCTCACCTTTCCAATTTTTTCACATGGTTGTTTGACAATGATTTTTCTATGTTGACCATTGCAGGCTACTGGACAGCCTAGTCCTCTATCATATTTTTCATCTCCTTTTTATTTTGTTCCTTTCATATCCTCCAACCTCTCCACCACTCTTCTTTACCAGATTAGAATCTGAATGTCTTACCTTCGCTGTCCCTTCCCCATTTGAGCCTTTAGTTGGTTGTTCTCTCTACCACCTTTCCTTAAAACCTATTTCCTCCTTTTTTTAGCCTGTGGGTGTTCTCGGTCAGATGTGTTCCCCATCAGTTTTACACATTCTCTACCCTGATAGGGCCTTCCTTCTCAAAACCTCAGCAGCTTGTGAGGGTAATTTTGCTTTCACCCCTATTTCTCTACCCTCTATTTCCAAACCTGCCAGCTCTTACAATTTTGGTGTAATTGTTTTGATCATTTTATGCCTGTATGTATGAATTGTTGTTATTTTACAATTTTATGTGAAATTCTGGAATGTTTTCACCAACCTTTCTTCTACTAATAATTTACTGTTCTACACTTTGCATCTCAATCTTACAAATGCTTGAAATAGTCTATTTAAAAAGTGTGTAAGTAGTAAGCATCTAGGGTGTGCTGATCATTTTTTGAGAGGGAAGTGGCAGAAAATCAAGGTTCTGCTTCATTCCAAATGAAAAGTTTGTAGTGAGTAGAAGTTTAGTCATTAGTATTCCAAAAAAATTTCAATGATATTCTATTATCCTCAAAGGATATGAATTATACAAGATGTACAATTTGTGTTTGTGATTTCTCCATTGTTCATGGAGGTGAAAATGACATCAAAAACATCTCAAAACTACTAAACACCAGCAAAATTGTTTGAGGGCATCTGGAATTAATAAACTAGATTCAATTTTCATATTGCATAGATTAAATAAAAAAAAACAATTCATGTGGAAATGCAACTTTACATGAGGTCCATGTGAGGTCTGCAGGTGTAGATGGTGTTGTACTCTCCTCCTACTGAGGATCTGATGCACAGTTCCAGATGCTGTTTGGTTTTGGACTGGATGAATCCACCAATAAAAAGACAGTTCACCCTTCAGACTGGGAACCCTCCTTCCTACCACCTCCTGGATGTCAATTCCTTGGTGACTGGTTGGAGCTCAACCAGCCAACATAAATCCTCCCATATCAGTGGACTGGGACCCTCCTCCTACCACGCACTGGACAATACTTTCCCAGTGCTGCATGGTTTTAGATTAGGTTGACCCTCCACATTGCATTCCACCTTCCTACTGTTGTCCGGGTTGTCGGTTTCTGAGATACAGGAGTTGATTGTGTTTGGTATGCACACATTATGACATGGGTTCCTGGAATGGAAGTGTTTCTTCCCTTCTGATTCCTGAGTCTGAGGTGAAGTTGGTAGAGGACCTCCCACTACTGTGGGCTGGATGTTATAAATTAGTTATAAATAATATAGTTTTAAATGCCAGAGAGAACTATTGGCAAGTTCTGAAAGAGAGGATGAGACAGGTGGGTATGGAAAGAGGGGTCTGATTTTCTGCTTTATAGCTCTGTAACTAAATAAGATAGAAGGCTGTGTAAATTATGCTCTACCTAAGTGATGAAAACATTATAATGAGTAATTTACATTAATTTCATACTTTTTGGAGGGGTGGTAAAGAAATTAGAGAAGAGGGGAAGACAGATAACAAACAACACAATTCTCATACTAGGGGAGATTGAGAATTTTTTAAAAATATTTCCTTATAAAGTTAAGAACTTAAAACTTATACAATACAAAACTTTGATTTATTATCCATGTTCTGATTCTGAGTTTATTCATAATATTAAAAGAACTTATCTGTGTGTGTGACTGCCATAGCTCCAAGAGAAAAGGCTTAGAGACCTGAAAATCTGCATGTATACTAAGGGGATTCTGAGGGGAGTGCACCTAGATATTATTTAGATTTGACTCAAAAACATTTTGATTAATTTCTTGCCCTATAGCTCTTAAGCCCCATAATTCTGCTTCCTGAAGGTCTACAGGAAAAGATTCATATTTTTACTCTAATTCTCACTTACTGAATGAACAGTTTGTGGAGGTTTTCTGCTCAATACTGTTGAAAAATAACAAAATTGGGAAAAAATGGACATATTTTACCAAAAATCTACAAAATTCAATAGGTTATGGGGCCAAACATTTCTTAGCCAGTCAAAGGCAACAGGGAGGGAAACATAGGTATCAGGACACATGAAACAGACCCTCAAAATATTAGAAAAGGTTTAAATAAATAAAGTTCAGGAAATGACATCAAACAAAACAGTTAGCTCTCTCGACATGGACTTGGTCAATTTGACTGACCACATGACCTCTTTGTACTCGTTTAAAGTCTTTATAGATTTAATATATCTAACTTACAATATAATATACATCTTCACAAAATTTGGCAGTGTTTCAGTTCACATTATAAGTCTTTCACATACAAAGAATCATATTTTTTAGTGAAGTATTTTTAATAAACTGAAATAAAGATTTGTCCATGAATATATTGAGTATTTGTTTTGAATAGTCTGTGTGAAAAGTAATTTTCCTGTTAATATTAAAAATACTTTTCCTCATATCAAAAATCTCAGATTCCCTTTGTGTAATCCATAAAACCTCCTAAGTACATTTCAAATATTTTTTTCCAGTAAAACTTTATATTTCATCTGTTATTTTCTCTACCCTAACTCAGGACATCGTAACCACCAAAAAAGAAATCGAAATAAATCTAAATTACCCTTTTTTCTTTCTAGAATGACTTCAAATTGTAACATGAAATTACATTAGTTTATCCTAAGTAGCTTTAAGCTCGTAACAGTATACATCTACTTATAATTAAAATTTGTTGTTTAATTGCCCTTTAAACCATGGCTAACTACTATATGCACCATAATAAGTTGTAACTCAATTGGGGAATGTGCAGCTCTGTTCAGCTGTCAAATTATATTACCCATGAGCTACTCCCATGTGTGCCTCATGAAACATTTTTATTATAATATTATTGCTATTTATTTTACCTAATCTAATCTTATCTAACCTAAAAAGATCTTTGTTTTTACATTTTAGTTACTTTTATAATAATAAATAAAGAATAAACATGAAAAACAAGAAATAATTTACTTACCCAATCTTCTTTTTTGTTTGATGTTGATTGTCTATTATACTTAAGCATACATATTTTATACTAATTGTAGTAGTGCATTAAATAATTTTTATTTAATTAGATAATGCATCAAAGAACATGGACTAATAACATGCCAAAAGCAGACAATTTTTCTGGCTTTCTAACTATATGACAAGAGTTGTTACACATTCATCCAAGCTAGTTGTTAACATTCCTATGGGAATGGAGCTTGTACTCTGAGTGAAATTTATGACTATCTGTACAGAACACAATGTTATACAATACATAATTTGATAGATGAAAATCTTGACTTTCCATTGGTTATAGGTAATATATAATTAAATGTAAGAGAGAACTATTAACAAATCCTGAAAAAGAGGATGTGACAGGTGGGTGTGGGAGGAGGGTTCTGATTTTATATTAATTGATAGATCTGTAACCAAACAAAATTGAAGGCTATAAAAATTATGGTCTGTTTGAGCAATGATGATTTTATAGTTAGTAATTTACGTTTAATTTCATAGTTAAAGAAGGAGTGGTGGATAAAATGGTATAAGTGCACATCAACACCATGTTTACCATATTGCTGTATGCACATATATGCATATGTATAGCACAGTGAAATTTAGTATGTAATTAGTTTGTTAAAGCACTATTAGCAAATAACTTTTTATAATGTAGTTTTCAGTGAACAGAATTACTTTGAGACATTAAAGTATAATAACAAATATCAGGTACAAGTAGCAAACACTAGTAACAAGGCTGGAAAGTTTCAGTACTAGTATTACTGTTAACAAAATAATGAGAGTTGTACTTTGTTTATTTCTAACTTGTAATATGTTTTGATATTTGTATATATATATTTCATAATATTATCATTATGTTTTCTGTAGGACTTAAATGGAGAATCAAGAAAGAGATTCCATTTGCTGATGTGGTGATTGATCTGGTACTCCTCACGATCACCGAGCCTAAAAACAAATACAATAAAGCCAAATTTGTTTTAGTACTTAAAATTCTCTTTGGACAGATTTTGAACAGGTGTGTTTCTCATTGTAATTTTTATATTATACAATTTTAAGTGCCCCCCCCCCGGTGGAACAGCGGTATGTCTGTGGACTTACAATGCTAGAATCTGGGTTTTCGATACCTGTGCTGGGCAGAGCACAGATAGCCCATTGTGTAGCTTTGTGCTTAATTAAAAACAAACAAACAATTCTAAGCAATGCTTTGGTGAAATTTATTTTTATTTTTATTCAAGAATAAGCTATTTTGAGAAGTGAGTGTAGTTAGTGGTTGTTCCATTTTTTTCTTGGTTATTTCTGTATACAAGAAGATTTTCTAGTTATCAATGAGTATCTGATAGAGGTATCGAAAATTTTAGAGAAATGGTCTTTTTTTATTTTTGGAAGCGAGAATTAGTAAAAGTGTGTCAACCTTAGGTTATTACAGCTGTACGATGTTTTAGCATTTATACTTTAACAATACTGTCAACACATGAAAATTTACAAACAGCTATTATATATTAAGATTTACTTAACAATAAAATTATACAATTAATAATATTAATTATCCAAAAATTGTTTGCATTGAATATTAAAAATTAACACTAATGGAAAGAGTAGTTGCTGAATATAATTTAATTGTAGATTTCATACTTTTGATTAGAGAGGTTTTAGATATTTTTTCATTTGATTAAATCAAGTTATTTTTGTATAATTTTAAGATTGTTTTCAGACACATGTTTAGTTTCTTTGGTTTGTTCAGGAATATGTGAAGGCCCTTGGATAATTTCTTTTTAATGTATGAAAATTATTCATTACAAAATAGGATATCAACATCAATTATTTAATTATACACAAACCAGAAATTAAGATCAAGAATGATGTTGGAAGAAATTGCTCTAAAAAGAAGAAAAATCATGGAGTCATTTATAAAACCAAAGATGTAATCAACCTTATTTAGGCTGAAATGGGGAGAGAATTGAGCTTCCGTCTTAAAGGAACAGGTTGAATGACCTTCATTTTTTAAACAAATAAAACCTCAGATAAATCTTAAGCATGTTATGTATCTGAGATTAACTTTAGAATTGGACAAAAAGAATCTGATCTAAACATAGAAAAACAGCTGACGCCTTATTAATGAAAAATGTAAAGTCTACAATTTAAGAGATATCCAGGAACTCCTCTTTACTTGTATTAATTGTTACTATTCGATGGAAGGAATTACTTTGGTGGGTCAGTGGTAAGTTTACAGACTTAAACAATAAAATTTGGTGTTTGATTGCCCATGGGGGACAGAGCACAGATAGCCTATTGTGTAGCTTTGTGCTAAAACAAACAAACTAATAAAACAACTTAAGAAATATTTTAGAGAAGTAATATTAATAATGTTTAGTTTATTGTTAAATTAATCTTATCACTTACCGTGAGACTTGTTTGTAAACTTTACTATGTTGAATATTGATGTTTCATTTCTTAAATATTGTTTATGTGTAACCTAATTGTACCATGATGAAGGTGGTTCACTTATATAAGATGAATCATTGTTGTTTGTTAAAAAAACAAAAAAAATCATTTTCCACTTTAAAGCTGTACAATACTTCATTAATCTTAATCTTTGTTTTTAATGATTATTGTTCTTTGTAGTATTTAGTATCTGTTTTGAAGTTGCAGTGCATTATTTGAGTGAAGAATAAAAGCAAACTTAACAGTAGAATAAAGAAACAAGGAGTAATGTCTCAACTTTTATGTTTAGCCTAATGTGGTACTATTGTTCTTTTACATTATGTAGTAAACTGCTTGATGGGTAAATGAGGTAGTAGAAATATTCTGTTGCCAAGTGAATCAGTATGTTTTTTTTGCAGTCAAAGCATAACTTGTCTCTTGCCTTAAGTCTTGGCTCTGCCTTTTGAGCATCTTTTTTCTATTTGGTTAACTTGATATGAAACCAGTCATTGAGTGTTTCAACTTTATTTTTTGACTTGTTTTCCTCAGAAGTGTAAATAAATGGATACATATAGTTCAATTCGTAAGACTAGAAATAAATTGTGTATTTTTTAAAACTTTCTAGTTTTTCTCTTACCAAATTTTTGTATCTATTCAGTTACAATCTGAATAACCAAATTTATTAATTATTTCAGTGCTACTTGAAGACTTTCTTTCTTTATATATGTGCATGTTCCTAGTGGGTATATTCATAGTTCTTTTCAGTATTTTAACATTAGTGACTAAAGGATTTGTCAATTACTGATGTCACCAGTCAATTTAAATTTTAGTTTTGATACAGTGAAGAAAGACCTGAGTTCTTCTCTTTTCTTACTGTATGATGATGATGGTGATAGATATCTGTCAGAAACAATGAGTGACAAAAAAAATGCATGCTAGTGTTTTTTCTGATAGTTGCTGTTAAGCCATAGCAATTAACCAATAGCAACAGCCGTAAGTTGCTTATGAAAGTATCTGAAATTTTGTTTTTTTATAAGGGCTCATGTAATATACTGCTTTACAGTGTGGGATTTAAGTTTATTATTTATATAATTTATTTTCTCTGAAAATGTTTTTTTAGAAATTAAGTATTAATGTTTTTTTTCCAGTAAATGCATTTCTGATTGGTTGATCTATTTTGTTAGTCTAGTTAAGAAAGTTAATTTGTTATTATCTCATTTTATGAGCATTGTATTTTCAGCACTTCTTTCCACGAAACAAAACTACTTATTCAATTCAACAATGCAAAGGCTCAGTTGGTTCATTACGTCAGTGTTTCTGAAGTTTCTAATCTCATTAACAAACTTTTTACGTGTTGTTATTGGCTGAAGAGTGTCAGACCAAATAGTATGAAAGTAGAAATCTTTTGGACAGAAAATAAGAAAAAAATTATGTAGTAAAGTAACTTGTAAAATCTCAATATAATTAGGTTATACTTTTAAACTTAGAGTTTAAGTAAATGTATAACTTCTGTTGTACGTGGATACTTAAGGTGACTATAAAAAACATATTCAAAATGATTAAATCTTAAATGCTACTTGATTTAGAATATCTTAAAAACTGTTACAAGAGGTGTTCATTATGCTTTTTGTCATTCTACAATGATATATCAAGTCTATTCCTAACTAAAGCTACCAGAAGCTTCAACTCTTTGTGGACATGCATTTTTATTTATATCATAAATATAATATTGTTGAAAGAGAGTCAATTTTTTAGTGGACATAGATTTATCTTAATTAAAATGTTTTTAATTGTGTACCTATTGTAATGTTGTGTGTTATTTATTATTTCAACATTATACACTAGTGCCAATAAATAATACCTAGTTAATTCTTTCTAATATGTTTTGAGTAAAAATGTTATTACTTTTATCAGTGGTAATAAAAAATGTTTTCATTATTTGATCATCAATTTATTTGATTCAAATGAGATCAATAGGCAATTACGGCAAATTTTAAAAACAAACACAATGACCATCAGTTGATCGTCTTGACGTTAGTAAATCATGAAATAAGAGATGTTCAGGTTCTCAGTAAGAAATTTGTGGCAAAACTATTTTTTCACAAAATAAACAAATGGCAACTGGTAGCAGAAACACTAGGTTGTCTCCATGCTCACCATGTGGTGTGTTTTGCTTCTTCAGTTAGAATAATATCACTAAATTCTTGTGTGTTTGAGGTTTCCAGAAAGATGCCAGAATGTAGCAGAATTACTACATCATTAAAATCAGTAAATGAAGAACAAGATAATAAATATGATAAAAAATTGAGGAAATATGATTATTTCAACAGTAGTGAAATGTACATGTACAACAGATAAGTACTGTAACAAAAACTATAGAGAAAACATTTTACACTCATCAGATAGCTTTGTGGTAGTTGACAGGAGTAATAAGAATAAAGCTCAGAAAATAAAATAATTCATTTAGTTATCTCGTAATATAACTGATTGAGTGTGCATTTTTAATATTCAGATATATAACAATTATTTTCATTTTAAGGTAGTTTTTGTTTCCTGGTTTCAAAGTATTAAGACTCTAGACTTATGTGTGGCATTAAAGATCAGTAGGGGTTATCAGATTTGAAGAACTCAACAACTAACTTGCTGTTGTCATTAATTTTTTAATCCTAATTAGTTGTAATTAATCATCTAAGAATGAAAGTGGCACTGTATATAGAATTATGTCTTGAGTAAGAAAATTTTTCAAAACATATTACTTATGCACTTCAACAGAAAACTGTTAAAACAGTAATGTTATAATAAAATGATACCTTTCTTAAAATAAGTATCTGAATAAGTAACTGAAACACTGTTTTAGTTTTCTCTTGAATTATAGTTTTTGTTAAAATGTTAACCAAAGTGATTGCTTTTTTATATATGTATAGGTGGTTAGAGAAGAAGCTATTGCAGTTTACAACTAAAGAATGGTGTGCACAATATTTACACTTTTTGCATGAGGCACTGTGGCCAAATTCAGAGAGCAAATATAAAAAAGATGATAATATTCATCAGCGATATGAAGCTATTGAAGCAATGAACTCCTTCTTTTCATGTAAGTTGATAGCAGTGATCTAGGTTAAAAGTGATTACTTGTCTTATGAATATTGATATATATTCTGTACTGATCTTGAGAAATTCAGGCAATTGATTTTATGCTTTGTATTAACTTTATAAATTAAATTTCTCAAGAAAGGTTGCTACTCCAGTTCTGATATGGTATATTACGTCTTCTCATATAAATAGCTATTCTCATTCAGTGCTGCCCTCTATATGCAAAATTGTTTTTTTTTATGCATGCCACAAGCCTTCTATCTCTCCTCCATTGGAATTGATTGATTCCAGTGTGTGTCTCATGCAAATTTTATCAGGCGTCAAATCTCCACCAATAAGAGTGCGACATACTCTCATGATGCATGTAACTCCATCTATTCAATTCTACTACCACTTTTTGTTTGGTAGTACTAGAGTTCAGACATTTTTCTTTTGGTGCTCTGCGTGTGAATCATGATTTTAGTAGTTTAATTTTCGAAGTGGGATTTCTTCATTATTATTTTTTCTTTACATTGAAGAAATCTTTTAATTTAACTTAATTCCCCAGTCTTTATTTTTTTCTCACATTTGCATATGTTACATCAAACACTTGTTTGATTTACATACTTCTACAATGAATTCTGAGGTTCATGTTCCCACTTCAGATGTTATATCTCTAGCAGTATTTTCACAGGCTGCTGGTGGGGGAGACCTGTCATTGGATTTTTCTACTATTATCTATCGTGAGATTGAACATTATATGATTAAACCTTCTTCTTCTGAACTTGCCCCACTAATCCTCCTGACCAAGCCAATCCTATTCAGGTTGATGAAGATTTGGTAGCCTTTTTACACCACCGGATTTTGCTGTGTTTTCCCTAACTTTCTCCAGAATCAACTAGGCCAAATACAGCATTTTTCGACATGATTTCACAGGTATGTTATGTTTTATCCAATTCTCATTTTTCTGTGATTCCTTATTACCTCCATGTTGGCTTGTTTGTCATCTTTGGTTCTCGCTTTACACACCTGGTATCACTATAGTTGGGATTTTCTGGGTCACAATGTGACCTTGTTCCGGGTAGTTTTGCTGCCTTTTTCTTTTCGGGATTTCTGTATTTTTTCTTTGGTGATATGTTTTCTATCATGTATTTGAGACTTTGGAATCTCGTGTGTAATCTGTGCATCAACATTTGACTCTTTCCTCTTTGGTTGCACGTTTGTTGCAGTTGGATCCACGATAAGCCCCTATTCCTTTCCCTTGTCCTTGTCTCCCTTCCAAGAGTTTTTCATCTCGTCATTTTTTCAGTGTTAATGGCCATGTTGCCAACAGTACCAGAGACTAACCAGAGGGTTCCACTCCAGTGGGAGCTTGACTACATTATATTATTTATATTATAATATTATATTTTTTCTTATTTTTCCTTTTCAAAGGCCCTTTTCCCTTTTATTAAGTCTCTCAATATGGGCTCAGTCAGTTTGACCGACCATGTGACATTTTTGTATTCGTTTAATTTTTTTATAAATTTAATACTTAGAACTCTCAATATAGTGTGTATATCTTCACGAAATTTGGCAGTCTTTCAGTTAACATTACAAGTCTTTTACATACAAAAAATTATATTTTTAGTGAAGTATTTTTAATAAAATAAAATAAAGATTTATGTATTGAATATTTGTTTTGAATAGTCCATGTGCAAAGTAATTTTCATGCTAAAATTAAAAATACTTTTCCTCATCTCAAAAATCTCAAATTTCCTTTGTGTAATCCTTGAAACCTCCTAAATGCATTTCAAACTTTTTTTTTTCTGTAAAACTATCGTTTATCTGTTATTTTCTCTACCCTATCTCAAAACGGGATCAGTCAATTCAACTGACATCATAACCACCAGAAAAAAAATCGAAATAAACCTAAATTACCCTTTTTTCTTTCTAGAATGACTTCAAATTGTAACATGAAACTACATTCATTTATGCAACGTAGCTCTAAGTTCGTAACAGTATACATTAATTTATAATTAAATTTTATTGTTTTATTACCTTTGAAACATGTCTAACTATCATCCATGCCATTATAACTTGTAAATCACACTATGGAATTACATTACCCACGTGCTGCTCGCATGAGTGCCTCGTGAACCATTTTCATTTTATTATTATTATCACTTATTTTACCTAATCTAGTCTTAAATAACTTAAAAAGATCCATATTTTTAGTTACTTTTATAATAATAAATAAAGAATAAATATGAAAAACAAGAAGTAAAGTACTTACCCAATCTTCTTTTTTCTTGCTGTTGGGTTTTTGAAGAAAGTTGACCCTCATTTTT